ACGAACTGTAGTATAGTACACTGACTACACTGTATAAAACCGCAAACCCAGGTGACGGCACTGCGATATGGGGATCGTGAATGGATCTTAAATAAGCTTTATTGTCACCTAAGTTTACAAAAGTAAAAATTCCCGGATAGGAATAAAAGATCATATTAGTGCTCACCGTAATGAGTTAACGTGTTGACTGACGTTTCGGAGAGCTGGGCCGGCTCTCTCTTGTCAAAGCGTAAACTGCCGTTATAGGTCAGCAATGTGAGGTTGTGGCTGTACGCGGCGGCCGTGGGCTGATCGATTTTTTCCTCCTTCGCTGCCTCTCCCCTGGATGGTGGCATACGTCGACAGCAGTTAGTGCCGCGCTCCTTTTCTGCGATAGGTGACGATGGCAATCATGCTTCCTCTTCCAACGGGTTCGTCGTGAGGTGGTTTTTACTTGCGATCCTAAAAGGCGGTTTGAGCTTGTCCTGTCCTTTATTCACGTAAAGGGTCTACAATTTTTGCCCTGTTTCTCCAACGTACATGCAGGCCCTATCTCGTAGACAATTGCAGAGGTTTCAGTCGGGAGCATTCTGTCTTTAGAGTGCATCACACGGCACCGCTTTGTCGCCTAAGGTCGATGGGCTATGCCTACTCCAGCGGGTTGTAATAGCCCATGGCCGCCGCGCACAGTCATAACTTCGCATTGCTGATCGATAACAGCCGTTGACGCTCTGACAAAGGAGAGCTCGGCCAGCTCTCCGAAACTTCAGCGAGCACATAAACTCATTGCGGTGAGCGCTAACATAATCTCCGATTGATGGTCACCGTTGACTGACAGTGGAAGTGTTGAATCAAAGAGCTATAGAGGACAGCCTCGAACAAGCAATCTACGCGGGATGCCAGTAGTCTGCAAAATAAATCGTGGGCCTTCGTCGCAAATAAACCTTACTGGGTGAGCGAAAAACTGGCACATTTGGTCCTGTTTTTGTGGATTAACAACACGTAGGATGCCCGTAAATCAGACAGAAAGTAGAATCTCTTGGAAATAAAATGGGCGACAACGTACCCCACGATCAATGCAAGCTTTCAACCAGGCTGGCGTAACAAGCATAAGTCCCCGTTTTTCAGCCCAGGCTCTGGTAGAGGGATCACCATTGCGGAAGATAACGTGAGTGACTGCAGCGCTGCGGGTGCTCTCTACTTGCGCCCCATGCAATCGCAAACGTTCAGTCATTACAAGCCCTGGGTTGCCAATCGGCGATCGCACATCCACGTAAGCTACTACCCCTACAAGGAAGATTATATAAGTGAAGTGAAGGAAGGATAGAAAAGCAGGCTCGTGTGCAAATAACTGGCTAACTATCTTCAAAATGTTTGCTGGTCCACTTTAAATTTCGCAGACAAATGTGCAATCTTTAAGTTATAGCACAAAAGGATGAAGATAACAGAGGGCTCTGAAAATGGCTGTACGCATGTTCCACAATAAGAGCGGGCAGGAATTCAATCAGTTAATATCCGGCCCACTTGGATTGTACCCGGCACTAGGATAAATTAGGTCATCGGCACTTACTCATGTATCTTAGAACAACGTCTAGGATGCGGTGGATATGACCGACCACTCAGATACTGACAATCGATAGGTGAACAAAAACTTTAGGTTGAGCATTGAGACACGCAAAATTGAAATGGAATAACTTGGAATTAGACTGCACAGTTCTTAATAAAATGATTTCGGTCCATTGCTGTCATTTAGGAAATATTTAGTGTGCAAAACCCTAGGTAGAAGTGGTAAAAAATGTTTAAGCTGGCATGAAAACGTCGGTTTTGCGGCGAATTCCTAATTGGACAAGTACTTTGGTGGGTTGCATCGAAAAGATGTAAACACCGTAACCAGCAGAATGACTCGACTTACAAATCAAAACAACACCAAAACCAAATATCATGTTTACCGGTGAGACAGGAGAGGGTTATTGTGGACAGTTACGTCAAACTAATATGAACTCTTATCAAAACATGCCAGTGGAAGAAAGCAAGTTGACCCAATAAACAATGGAAATAACAAAAATAACACAAAAGACCCATTTGACGGAAGAAAGCTGACTGCCGAAAGTTAGGCCGTTAAACTAGAAGATTAAGGACACTGTGCGCTTTAATTGTTAATTTAACGTGTTATGCTAAGAGCCTATTTCTCATGAGCAATGTGTATATTAGTTATTCATTTAATTAAAAAGTGTGCACTTTGAGTGGAAAAAGACAAAAACCACACTGCATTCACTGATATTTCAAGGATACCGCCGCCAGAATCCAGTAATTTTATGACGGGAAAATTGAATAGTACACAGGAAACGACGTTGTTATAACTTCGTTTGCTAATCATATCCCAACTTCTTAGTAAATGCCCAGTCTCGTAATGTGTAGCCCCATAATAATATTTTTCGATGAGGTTTCTGTGGAGGAAACCGACAAACTCCCATTGGCTGTGGTCAACTTCATCCGGCGCAGTACAGTAACGAAAAAGCCACATAGAACACCTGTAATACCATATGAAAATATGCATTTGATGGGCTGCCACACCCCATTCCACACTTATTTTTGAAGGAAAATTAATTAGACGAGTACGCAAAAAGCAATAATATGCTTAAGTTTGCTTACGTACTTAGTTGTTTAAGTGTACTTGTGTTTGCGTACTTTCATAAATTCAGCTTTCCTTTCTTGTACGAACTTTCACCCCTATGGCTTTTCATCCTTTTTGAAAAACGGTCATTTTGGCCAAAGTAAAATTAGTTCGACACTTTTTTGCGCATCTATTCGTCTTAACGTCGTTTAATGTCAACCAGGTGTTTTGACAGGCTCAACTACGATGAATGTTATCAGAAATTTACGCGTTGTACTTCAGTAAGTTATGTCTTTGTCTTGAAAAATGGAGTATATGGTTGCATCGAACGGTGCATTTCAAATGCAAAAGTTCTGACACTGTTAAGATATTGGACACACGTATTATTTACAGAAGAGAAAAACAAAAAGATGAAGAAAATAGCGGCGGCAATATACCGTAAGCCTAAAGTTATAAACCATGATCTGCTTGTTGATAGTGAACCAAAAATCCAAAGGAAACGACAGAATGAACTAGAATTAGCAACACTATAGTTCAGAAGTTACGTGAATTGGACTTGTGATACCCATTTACTCATTGCCGCTTGCATAGGATTCCTTCATAACATACCTGAGTGAGCATAATACAGATGACTGCATGAAGCTAATTTATTGTTATTTGACGGCAAAATCAGCAGGCGTGTTAATTTTAAGGGCTGCAAATTAAAAGACAGTCTATCCGGGTATGTGTGCCATAATCTGCGTCGCTGTATATACCTAGAGGTCTTTGGTATACGGAATGTCAAAGAAAGCTCTAGAATGTCCGGCCTAAAGTCTGCCTTGAAGAAGTGATTGAACAAGTCATTTGATAGCTATGTACAACGCACCCAGAAAATAAAATACGTGGAAATCGTGTAGTAAGTCAAGTACCTATTTTTAAACTACTGCTAACATATAGACAACGATCCAGGACAATCTTCTGGTAACCTGCCCCCCCATCAAAGCAATGAACACGTACAAACAGCGTGAGACACTTGCATACATACCTTTTATAATTTTTTGATTACTTTCCATATTTAACGTCTCTGCAGTAACTACAAGTAAATGTTTAGACCATGTGGCCATATAAAGGTGGAGTGGAATCGACAAAGACAAGGGAGCCCGGAATGGACATTTCTTGCTTATTACTCGTCATTAGCCATTCATACCCACTTCCACTCCATCATCTGTCTGAAGTCGTTAATCGACTGCTTACGATTGCTCTGGAACGACCTCCCAGGCCCAACGGGACAAGTAGGTTCCCTAACCAGATAGGTCGGTGAGAACCCTGCTTCCACCATATTGTAGATGGCAACCGACAGAGCAACGAGCCCGGGATTCCATGCTAGTGTTGCATTCAATAACCGAAGGTCGCGGGTTCGAATCCTGGGTGATCAACACCTGGGATTAGGTATGACTGGCTGATGACGGCTAACAGGCCATAAATGGTCATTCCGGTCTGCCTTGTATTGGTCGGCTCAACTCAATTATATGCCTGAAGTCTCAAAGCGACTGCTTACGATTGCTCTAGAATGACCTCCCAGGCCCAAAGGGACAAGTATGTTCCCCAACCAGATAGAGTTGGGAGTACCCTACTTCTTCCGTGTAAGCACGGTACTCTGACGATGGAAGCGAGTGAGCTTTTGAAACGTCAGTCCAAATACAATCTGGTCCACGAACCTGCCCCCTCTTCTTCTTCCTCTTCTTTGGGAGACGATGAACGCGATAACATATCTGGACCCCGAATCTTTAGGCATATTAATATATAGTGGCAAAGACGCGTACACCGATCTGTCAGAGGACCCACTCGTCCCCCCAT